GCCCAGGCAGGACATGCAACCCCATCAGGGAGGGGCAGAAGTTCACTGCCGCATCCAAGGGGTGGAGCCTGAGGGAGAGGGAGGCACCTCTTGCTGCAGGTAAGGAGCAAGGTGGCCCAGGGACCCTGGAACCACAGAGGCAACACAGCAATTAGCCACCCTTGTGCAGCTCCTACCGTGTGGTGGTGCTTGCCTCCAGAGCCTGAGCAGCTCTGGGGCATTGGGACGCCACAGGAACATTCCAAGGTTGATGCCTTTGTCCCCTGAGCATCGGGGCTTAGAAGAGAGCCTCATTTCTTTCCCTAGATTCCCAGGGCTGATTGCCTGACTTTGAAAGAAGGCCAACCACAGTCTTGGAAAGCACACTGGCACACGGATCCCCGCTCTCACGATAGGCCACTTCACCAGTCTGGTCCTCAGTCTTCAGATGTGTAAAATGGACACAACGGTGCCAACTCATGGGCTTGTTAGAAAGATGAAATAAAGAATGAAAAGGAGCTCTGTAAAGAGTCAAGTGCTAGCCATATTGTTCCTCCCCCCTTTATTTTTACCCCCTCTGTGTGGCATCTCTTGCCTTCACGTGTGCTCAGTGGCAATCATGACAGAGAGCCTAGCCGGACGCTCGTAGCCGCAGCGCTGGGAAGCAGGGGTGTGAGCCGGGGGGGGGGGGGGGGCACCTAGCGAACCAGGGAGGGAAATATGGACCCAGCAGCCCTGATAAAGCTGTCCCCCCTCCAGTGGCCACCCCCTGCAGATGACAGGGGAGAAAATTGAGTCCCGGATGGAAAGTCCCACCCCTCAGACAGCACTACTGAGGTGACCACCTGCTCCCAGTTCGGGAAGGCTCCTGGGTTGGCTTGCGCAGCCCCTCCTGGGCTTCCCTCCCAGCTTCCCTGGGACACCCAATAGGGCCACAGAAGCCCTTGGGTGGAGCCCAGCTTTCTCAGTGTCCTCCCTGGGGTCTGGGTGAAAGGGTCCCAGACCAGAGCCCCCACTGGTCCCAGGGTCCAGCTCGTTTCACTGCTCCACATGGACCACTAACCTCAAACCCCACTAGGCTCTTCAACACAAGCTCAGAAAAGGAGGGGGCTGCCCCCTAAAGAGCCTTGGCCTGGGTCTCTGGGAGAGGAGCTGCTCCTGGCCCAGCAAGCCTGGGATATGGACCCTGGAAGCCTTGGACCGGCCACAGGGCTCAGCTCTGAGGAGCTCCTCTGGCCCGGGTCCCTCCCTCAGCCTGGGGGACACCCCTTCTCTGGGTGATCTCAGTGCAATGTGCCTCCTTACTTCTTTCAGCCCCATGGCTGGCCTTTATCCACTCTCTCGTCCTCCATCCAGCAGGTTTATTGAGCTCCTAGAACATTCTGGGTATGAGGATGAGGACTACAAAGAACTGCCCTGCAAGAACTCACGGTTAGGGAAGAGAGTCAGAAAGCTCTCTTACTGAGTCCTTGCTATATGCCGAGGACTGCTTTTCTAGCCTCCCAGGGAGGCAGGGCTGGGCAGGTGACAAAAGTGAGCCCAGGAGCTAAGTCTCTTGGCCAGGGTTAGGAACAGAGCATGTGGCAGAGCCGGACACACAGATGTTGCTCCAGAGCATGGGGCCCTCACGCCCTGCTCTCCAATAATTGCTGTGATGGTCATCAACACATGGGGACAGATGGAGGCACTGGAGGCTTTGGGGACAGATTGGGAATGCTGGGAGTGGTGGGGGGAGACCAGAGAGGGTGAAGCATGAGCTGAGCTTTGAAGGTTGCAATCACTTATTGTTGGGGGTGTCTCCTCCCTCTGCCCCGTCCGTCAGTCCATCCGTGAGCGCCTTGAAGACAGACGCCACCTTTTGCCCTTCTGTCCAGGTCCCCCACACAATGCCTGTCACACAGCGGGCACTCAACAAACAGCTGCTGACAAAACCAAACCACAGACAGGTACAAAGCTTTCGGGAGAGGAGGCCAGGTCCTGTTTCCCTTTGACGCCTCAGCTCGAGCACAGTTCTGGGCGCGGGAGCTAGAACCCAGCCCCGCCTATTCTGCCGTGGGGTGTGATCTGGAACCATCTGGCTTAGTCAGCCAGGTGGGCCATGTCTGAGTGACCCCTGTGGGACTAAGCCAGCCAGCTGAGCCCACAGCAGGCTTGTGATTGGAGGAGGAGAAGGAGGACAAAGAATGAGGGGAACAAACTGTGCAGGGGCCTGGGGAGGGGGAGAGGGGGAAAATGAGGAGGCAGAAAAGAGGGAAGCTGGCAGGGGCGGCAGAGCCCACCTATGCTCTGGCCTAAACCCCGTGGCAGAAACTAGATAGCATCAGACAGGCACTGCCCAGTTCATTCATCCATCTCTGCCTCCGGTACGCGGGGCTGAGCCCAGGGGCAGGCTGGCCCGGAGACAGAAAGACAGCCCCGCCCTCCAAGCACATGGTCAATGCTGTGCGGCGCGGACCTGCACACACATGAACACACCCACACTACCCGAGGGCCACAGAGGGGGCGTGTTCATCTCAGTCTGAATGTTGAACTAAAACCTGGTAGTCTGCAATAACACAAAGATGGGGGTGCAGAGAGAAAGAGAGGAGGAAGGTCAGACTGAGGTCGCTCACTGAACAAAGGCCGGAGGTTCCCGGCCACATGGCTGGGTCACCGAGAGTGGTTTGCAGTGGCAAGACTGCAGGGGGTGAGAGGAAGTGATTATAGAATTCAGGGCTGGAGAGAGGCAGGAAGAGGCCCAGGGTCCCCTCTGCCAGGGAGGAGTCGGTGTTTTCCTCAGTGGCCGGGGGTAGCTTTGAAAGCATCGCTAGGCCAGGAGGAAGACTTTCCATTCCCAGCAATCGTCCCCACTGGAGTGTGGAGCAAGGATGCAGAGGAAGCTCAAACTGGAGGCAGGAAGGCCAGGGAGGCTGTGAGGACATTATAGCTAACAGCATCCATGGGATAGACGGGAAGGGGAGTAGGGAGTGAGCAGGCCAAGGGGACTCCTGGGCTCCTGGCTTGGGTTTCCAGGTCCTCTGGAATGGGGAGTCAGGAAGGCACAGATCTGGGAGAATGAGGGGCACTCCTTCCGACAAGTAGATTTGAGGAGGCAATGGCCAGTGCATTTGGGCACGAGAGTCTGGTGTGGAGGAGAGGGGCCTCCCTGGAGTGTCATCAGAATGTATTGGCACTTGTGAACAAGGACATGTCCCAGACGAGCCAAGGGGGTTGTAAAAAGGAGAAAGAGAAGTGTGCCTGTGCCAGACTCCATGGAAGGAGCGAGCCAAGCAAGAGGAGGTTGTAAGTCTGAGCTGGGACACAGAGAGAGGCAGGGGGCACAGGGGTGCAGAGGGGAATTGGGGAAGAAGGTCAGCTCACTTTGAGTGGGTTGGAATGGCAGGATCTTAGGGTAGGCCGGGGGCTAGGGGCAACTGAAGGTCTGGATGTCCATCATCTTGAAAGGAAAGGCTCTGGGGGCGCCTGGGTGGCTCGGTCGGTTAAGCATCTGCCTTCGGCTCAGGTCATGATCTCAGGGTCCTGGGATCGGGCCTCACGTCGGGCTCCTTGCTCAGCGGGAGGCCTGATTCTCCCTCTCCCGCTCCCCCTGCTTGTGTTCCCTCTCTCGCTGTGTCTCTCTCTGTCAAATAAGTAAATAAAAAATCTTTTTTAAAAAAAGGGGGTGCTCCCGATGTTTATAGCGCATTGTCCACAATAGCCAAACTGTGGAAAGAGCCAAGATGTCCATCGACAGATGAATGGATAAAGAAGATGTGGTATATATATACAATGGAATATTATGCAGCCATCAAAAGGAAGGAGATCTTGCCATTTGCAACAACGTGGATGGAACTGGAGGGTATTATGTTGAGCGAAATAAGTCAAACAGAGAAAGACATGTATCATATGATCTCACTGATATGAGGAATTCTTAATCGCAGGAAACAAACTGAAGGTTGCTGGAGTGGGGGGTGGGGTGGGAGGGATGGGGTGACTGGGTGATAGACACTGGGCAGGGTATGTGCTCTGGTAAGCGCTGTGAATTGTGCCAGACTATTGAATCTCAGATCTGTACCTCTGAAACAAATAATGCAATATATGTTAAGAAAAAAAAAAAGAAGAAGAAGAAGGTAGCAGGAGGGGAAGAATGAAGGGGGGGAAATCGGAGGGGTAGACGAACCATGAGAGACGATGGACTCTGAAAAACAAACTGAGAGTTCTAGAGGGGAGGGGGGTGGGGGGATGGGTTAGCCTGCTGATGGGTATTAAAGAGGGCACGTTCTGCATGGAGCACTGGGTGTTATGCACAAACAATGAATCATGGAACACTACATCTAAAACTAATGATGTAATGTATGGGGATTAACATAAGAATAAAAAAATTTAAAAATTTAAAAAAAGACATTCGCAAAAAAAAAAGGGGGGGTGCTCTGCAGAAAGCAGGGAGGCAGCAGGTTGGGCCTGGGGTAATTGTCCTGGGTCTCCCCCTTAAACCAGCCCTGCACTGACCCCTCAAAGCCTGCCCCAGAGCCCTCTGTACCTCTTTCCATCACCTGATGCTACAAGAACCCTGTTGCTGCCATACATCCTACAGGGTGTTGAACTGGCTCATGCGTCCCCCCACGTCTCCAGTTTGCTCCATTTGTCCGTGTTTGCTGAGCACCCTCATCCATGAGCCACCCATGTCTGTGCCCTGATGGTTGACCCAGGTGCCTTGTGTCCTTCCCAGCTGGGAGCTCCCTGGGCCAGACCTTGTCAGGGGGAGCCACTTGACCCAATGGCACCCATTCTCCCACCGTCCCAAATCAGGGTCTTGGCAGGTGCTGCCCTCAGAAACCAGGCCAGAATCAAAAATACATTTGCAAAAAGGCAGGAAACTTTATTGAATTATCTTTTCTTGTTAGTAGAGAAGCTGGGAAGGCAGAGTAGCCAGGTAAGGGAGAAGAGGAAGCGCACAAGGAAAGAAGCACGGAGCGCCCGCCCTCTGGAAAGCGTGGGGCGGGGGAGCATCCTGTGGTCTCTCCCTCTCCTGCGGGGACCCATCAGCTCTCTCCTCTGGATGCTGAAGACAGAGGAAGAGGATGCTGAGTGGATTTAAAGCCTACGGGTGTCTGAAGTGCGGCGACCCAAAGTGGAGGTGGTGGTGGTGACCGCGGTGCTGGTGCTTCCTGAGAAATGGATGGGGCAAGACATACTCAAGCTGGAGAAGACCAACCTCGGCAGGTCAGGGTCCCCTGGGAGGGCCCCACGCCCCTCGCCCCCACGGCGCAGGTTGGAGGTTAGTTGATAAGGACTCAGGTTATTGTCCCCAAAGGTGGCTCTCTCTCTCCAAAGTATCCCAGTGGCTCAGTGGGACAGAGCCAGCTATTTTGCAAAGAAAACAGACGAGCAAATGACCACGTCCACCAGAGCCCCCTCCCTCCCTCCCTACACTGGGGAGTCCAGCACAGTCTCTCTCCCAGCCCCCCAGGGCGCCAAACAGGAGCCGGACTCGCCCCTCTCCCCAGGTTGTTTCCTTACCTCCCGAGGAGGGTATGTCAGTCATCCTGGGAGAGAGAAGAGAGGTCATGTGAGCAGAAGGCCCCCTGAGGACAGTTGCTCACCTGTCTGCGGAGGGAGCTACTCAGATCATCACTCAGAGCCCCTGAGTTGGGTTTTTTACCAACTCTGCCCCAAGCCCAAGGGGCAGCACCTGGTGCCTGCCAGGTCTGTCTGCTGTCTGTGAGGCCTCAGGAGGAGATAATATTCGCCCCAAATCCAGGACGTTTGCCAGAAGTTTTGTCCTCCCTCTGGTCCATTTGGTACTCTCCCCCGCCACCTCTACTCCCCCTGAGCCCACAAGGGTGGCCTGGTCCCTGCAAATGGTCTGAAGGGAGTTAAATCACCACGTTTATAGCTTTGGTCAGCTGACCTGAACCCAAGGTAATAGTTTTTCCAATATGAGATGTTCTGTCCATGGCCCCGATTCCTGCCCGTCTAATCCAGAGGCCCAAACCAGAAAGCTTAAAGGGACGGACTCTGCAGCCTGCTTGAGGAAATGCCCCCACAATCTGATTCTAGAAAACAGGGAGCTCTGATCCTGGATCTGCATCCAGTCTGTTTAAGCTCAGAAGGTCCCCTTCCGTGTGGGCCATGAGGACCTGATCCCTAAGGCCCCACCTGCTCGGCTGTCCAAGGGTCCTGTGGTCACTTTCCCAAGAGACTTGAGAGGCCTTACCTGGCATCCTGGCCCTCCAGCAGGCTGCGGTAGGTGGCGATCTCCTGCTCCAGCCGCGTCTTGATGTCCAGCAGAGTCTTGTACTCCTGGTTCTGGCACTCCATCTCACTACGGAGCTCGCTCAGCTGAGCCTCCAGGCCGCTGATGAGCCCCTGGATCTGCTGCAGCTGCATGGCGTAGCGGCACTCAGTCTCCGCCACCGTGCTCTCCAGCCCGGCTTTCTGGTGGGGCAACAAAGAAGTGATGAAGGGAGCCAGGCCAGGCAGAGGCCTAGGGGTGGTGGGGCCGCCGGGCAGAGGGCAGCGGGTGTACCATGCTGAGCTGGGACTGCAGCTCGATCTCCAGGGCCTGGAGCGTGTGCCTCAGCTCCGTGATCTCCGTCTTGCTGGTCTGGATCATGGCGGTGCTAGAGGACACCTCCTTGCTCAGCTCTGCACTCTGAAATTAGAGGAGGAAGAAGGTTATGGAGGAGCCCCGTGGAAGGCCCTGGCAGCCCCCAGCTCCACGGGGTAAGAAGGCCGGACACCTTGCCGTGGAACCATTCCTCGGCGTCCCGCCGGTTCTTCTCCGCCATAGCCTCGTACTGTTCCCTCATCTCGGCCAGCACGCGGGTCAGGTCAATGCCGGGGGTTGCGTCCATCTCCACGTTGACCTGACCTACCACCTGGCTGCTGAACTCCTTCATCTCCTATAAGGATGGAAGAGGAAGATGTGTGATGCTCCTCATCCTCCCCCCGCACCCCACCCCCGCCTTGGCTCTGAGGGCCACGAGCATGTTCTGGGAAGCGCTTCCAGGTCCCACAGCAGAGGGCTGGGTCTGGCTGCTCCCCTTTCTCGCTGGAGGTGATTCAGCCCTGGCAGGCCCCTGCCGGCCCTCACCTCCTCATGGTTCTTCTTCAGGTAGGCCAGCTCCTCCTTCAGGCTCTCGATCTGCATCTCCAGGTCGGCCTTGGACAGGGTCAGCTCGTCCAGCACCCGGCGCAGGCCGTTGATGTCGGCCTCCACGCTCTGGCGCAGGGTCAGCTCATTCTCATACCTAAAGGTTTTTTTATTATTATTATTGGAGAAGCAACACAGAAATGATATTAGACCCTCCCCTACTTCTGCACTGGACTCTGCTACTTCTCCAAGACCTTCACTCCTGGGATGCTCCGATTTCACTGTTCAGATGAGCATTGCTCTCAAATATAAGACGGTTTGGAAAGGCCAGTGAGGACAATGAACTCACTTGAGCCTGAAGTCGTCCGCAGCCAGCCGGGCGTTGTCAATCTCCAGAATGACCTGGTTGTTGTCGATGGTGGCCGCCAGGATCTGCAAAATACAAAGGGTAACCACTGGAGGGTCCACGAGCTTGGGGAGGAGGAAGAGAAAACATGGGCTGGACTGTTGTCATTAGACATCAGGCTGCCTCCACACTGTCCCTGTGAGCAGATAAGGCCCTGCTCTCCGGGCCTCGGTGAAGTGAGGGGCAGGGCAGGTCCTTCCTCTGGTTCTGTCTCCCTGGCATCCTATCTGTGCCTGGTTGTGATGGGGAAGATCGGAATGTACATTTCAGGGGAATGACCCTGCCCAGGACATCTTTGGTTAGTCATGTCTTCACGGCCTCAGACTAGCAACCTCTCTAGGTCACCGTCGTGACAGCCTTCTCCTTAAGGTCAGGAGGGGGTCAGCCTGGGTCCACGTAGCTCATAGTAACCTCACTGGAGCTGGCCTCCTGGCTGAGCAGAAGGAAGAGCCAATAAATATTCCCATCCATTTGAACTTCTCATCTAAACTCTCATATTCCGAAGCAGTTAAAATCCACCCCACATAGCTGGGACCCAGCCCAGGCAGGTGGATTTCTGTTCCAACAAGCTGGGACCCCAGCATGACAGACAGGCCTTGAAGAAGGAGTCTCAGCTCAGCTTAGCACTGCCTGAGCTTCCTCCCGCACGTCATAGCCAGTTGAGAATAACAGTTTAAATGGGACCCCTACAAAATCAACTAGTATTCCCAGACCAGTGTATGAACATGTATCCCTTTCTCGGCTGATTTTAATCATTCTTAGCGGCTTTTAAAACTGTCATGGTTTCCAAACAGCTCCATGGATTGGAATTCTAGGGATCAAGTCATTAATAACATAACTGTTTGGGAAGCAGTAAAAATGTTGACGTGAGTAGTAAGAACAGTAAAAGTGGATAGCGAGAAAGAACGTGTTTGGGGAGCAGTGGCATAAGAAAGCTTATCAGAAGTAGAGTTGCTTGGTAGTAAAAGACGAGAATTTCCCTCTGCAGGCGGGGTGAGGGTTCCACCACGCTGCATCTTCTGGTCCTTTGGGATACCGTGCTCCCTGGCCTTTGCAGCTAGCTCTGCCCTGCACCAAAGAGAGCTCGCCAACACCCGAGGACTCACCTTGTCCCGCAGCTCCTCGATGGTCTTGAAGTAGGGGCTGTAGTCCCGCTCGGGGCTGCTGGGGCTCTGCTTCAGGTGCCAGTCTCGGATCTTCACCTCCAGCTCAGTATTGGCCTCCTCCAGGGCGCGCACCTTGTCCAGGTAGGAGGCCAGGCGGTCGTTGAGGTTCTGCATGGTGAACTTCTCGTTGCCGGAGAGGAGGCTGCCATCGCCACCACTGTGGTCACCAAAGCCACCGCCGAAACCCCCACCAAAGCCACCTCCAAAGCCACCTCCAAAGCCGCCCCCAAAACCACTACCAGCCCCTCCACCGAAGCCGTAGCTCATGCTGCCCCCGTAGCCCCCAGCTGATGCCCCAGAGACAAAGCGGGTTGAACAGGCAGAGATACTGCGGCCTCCTCCCAGCTGGCAGGAGCCACCCCCAAAACCACCTCCATAGCTGGCGGAGGAGCTCTGCAGGCGACAGCTCATGGTGAGAGCAAGGTGAGGAGCAGGTGTGCACAGGAGCTGGGCTTGGCCTGGGCCGAAGACTGCGGCTCTTCCCCACAGCGGTGCCCTTTTATACTGCCCTCCACGAGGTCGGACAATCGCCCCATCTTCTCTCCTCCCCACCCCACCCTCCGACTGGTGCCAACTGCGCTGCTGTTTCCCACAAGCCCAGTTACCTCTGCTCTCCAAGGTGGGTTGTGCCTTTGGGGGTGGCTTTTTTTTTTAATCCTTAACAAAAGGGATGATTCAGAGGGCACAGTGTTCTGCCCTTTTGACAGCTGAATTCCATTTCAGCTCTGCACTTAGGGAGCTCACTCCACAGGCTCTCAGCTCCACCCAGTACCAGAAGGGGGACGGAGCTGCAAGGTGGCCCTGTGCTTTGCAAAGTCACCGCAGACCTCAGCTCCCTTCTTTCTATTTCTAAAACCTCGGACTAGAATGTTCTGCATCCTTGTTAGCATTTCCCCTACTCTAGTGCTCCCAGCGACTCTGATGAGAAACTTGGCTTGGTCCTGTAGAATCGACCACCCTGAAAGTGTATAGGCTGGGGAGTTGGGGTGGGGAAGCTCCAAGACCATCAGATAAAGTCACAGTGGCGGGGACCTTGGGGACCATCTAACACAGCTGGGGAAACTGAGGCACAGAATATGGAAACAAACAACCCTGCACATCATAATAGCTAACACACTCAGATCCCTCGCTGTAAGTATACGCCCTGTGTCACTCAATCTTTGCAGCCGCCCAGTGAGGTAGGTCCTACTAGTCACCCCACTTTACACACGGAGAAACTGAGGCTTGAGGGTAGTCAGGACTGAAACCCAAGTCTGGTAGGTATGTAATTCGTACAGTAAATTGTACAAGCTATTAGTGAACAGCTTAATGCATGTTTACCTATGTAGGAAGCTTCAAGCACGTGTTCGCCTGTGCACCCAGCACCCAGAGCATTACCAGCACTCCATAAAGCTCCGTACCTTTTCCCAGTCAATTACCCACACCCTATGCCCCGAACGAGACCACGATTCCCACTTCTGTCCCCCTAGATTGATTCAGAGATCTCAGCTAGGGGCTCTTTTTCTCCCTAGAGAACATTTGACAATATCTGGAGACATTTTGGTTGTCACAACAGGGGGATGCTGCAGAGAGAGAGGACAGAGAGCAGGGATGCTGCTAAACACCCTAGCATGCACAGGACAGCCCCCACAACAAAGAACTCTCCAGCCCAAAAGGTCAATAGTGTAGAGGTTGAGAAGCGCTGGATCCGCCTGACCCCTGTGGTCAATCATACCATCATACCAGCTGCCTTCAAGGCCTGATGGCTCCTTCTAGCACCCCCGGTCACAGGATGCCTGTCTCAGCTTGTGAGCGTTTGACCAAGAGGCCACATAGGAGGATGGGACCCAGGGCCTGGGGCTAGGGTCTCTGCCGAGCAGCCTGGGACATAGCTAAAACTCGGGGACTGCTTAGTCACCCTGCCAGAGAAGGCCTCAGGCCAGAATCAAAGGGCCTAGAGGTGGCCCCTCAGAGCCCAAGGCAGAAGGAGAAGTTTCCAGGGCTAAGAATGGAGGACTCGGGACTTAGGCTCTGACTCCCACTCACCAAGGGGGCCAGGGTTACCATGAGGGGCCTCTCAGGGTGAGCCTGCTGGCCCACAGCAGCCAGGGGGGTTGGACCAAGCTAAGGACTAGGGTGGGGTGACCCAGACTTGAGGTTATCCTGAGAACCCCTTCGCAGACTCAGCAAGCCAGGAAAGAGGGCTCTGAGTCAGGGCTTTCCTGCCCTTCGTTTTCTGCAGGTTGGGAAGGAGGCCTGTGTTTCACCCAGTGGGTGTCAGCACCAGGGAGAGAGCCAGGGTGTGCTTGAGGTCTCATGGGGAGGCCAGGGGTTCAGGCTGACTTCCGACCCTGCCCAGCCCTCCTGCCCCAAATTGATAGCTCAGCGCTCTTGCTCTCTCTCTCTCTCTGAAAAGCTGTGTGATTCAGCCCAAAGCAAGAGCTCTCAAGCTCTCTTTCTCTTCTCTCTCTCAGTAGAGGATCAAAACTGACAAAAAGGTGATTAATAAAACCTGCCAAGCCTGGAGTGACGATCCTCCCCCCACCCCCCACCCCCCCCCAGGGCTGACAGCAGGTTGAGACCAACGCCTCTTAGAAGAACAATGCCACAGATCCTCCAAAGTCCCAGGAGTACAAACACAGGGTGGCCATGACATGCCTCCCCTCGCAGGGTCAGGGCCCGGCCCGTCCCCTCCACGCCCCTCCCCTCCCTGAGCAGGTGCTTATGGTGCCTTAACACAGGAATGCCTTCCCCTGACCCATGGTGAACCCCAGGGCCCTCCTTGAGGAAGCTGGGCAGAGACCCATCCTGGGGCCCCAGTTTCACCTCTCCTGGCCTTGCTCCTGATGGGGCAGGACAGAGTGCTGGGGCGGAGGCTCTACGGCTCACACGTCTTCAGCTTCCTTCTTTGCTTTCTGACAAAATCACACCGACTTCAGTAAGGGGAGGGAAAGCCACATTTCTGAGTAGCCCCCGCAAACAAGGCTGGGCTTCACACACTGTCACTGAGTGCCCACGACAACGGGAGAGGGGTTTTCTTGGCCCCATTTTACAGCTGAGGTTCAGGGAGGCTGAGTTACTTGCTCAAGGTCACCATGAAGGCAAGATTCAAACCTCATCTCTGGCTCTCTCTACCCCAACTGATGATGCCTTGGAGTCTCACCATGAGCTCAGTATATGATCTCTGAGTGTTCCATTCTGTATTTATTAAAGATAATATATTAACACGAGCTAACATTTCTTGAACGCAGTGTTAAACACTCTGCGTGTGTCACTGCAAAAGAACTACTCTTTTGGTCACATCCCCTTTTCACCTGAGGACACTGAAGCCCAGAAAAGTTAAATTCCTTGCCCAAGATCCAAACCTCTGGCTCCAGGATCAGCACCCTGGCTACTGCCTGCCAAAGCCCCTTTAGGCCAGTGTCAGCACCACCCTGCCCAAGCACGGGCGTCCTCGGTTGCCCTCCATGCTCCCAGGCTCCCCACCACTGCAGACCCAGCCGGTAGATGGTCCTGTTTCCAACAGCGGCTGGGCCTGTGCAGCTGATGGTCTGACGGCACAGCCTGGTTGCTGTCTGTCCTGGTGTGAGCACCAAAGCTTGGAAACTTGCGAGGGTGCTCAGTGCAGAATGTCAAAGCCAGAGTTGTCCTAGGAACTTTCCCATCCAACGCCCTCATTCACATGTGGCGAAAATGAGACCCAGAATGCCAAGGCCCAAGGCAGTGGGAAGCAAAGAGAAATGCATGGTTTTCCCGCTCTACCACCAACTCACTGTAGGCCTTACGTTGAGTGACTTCTGAGTTTCCTTCAGCAATGCCTTTCTGAGGCTCTGATTCTCAAGGATTTGTCCAGAGTTGCCAGATTGTTCGCCTGCACAGCTGAGGCGTAAATCCTGTCCCCCAGCTCCGAATTCAGGGATCCTCGCTTGGCTCTTGGATCAGGCTCCTCTCTCCTTCTCTCTTTCCCTGGACCACATGGGGGCTGGAGCCCAGGACAGCTGACCCACCTCCCAAAGGGTTTTGAGGCTCCCCCACGGGGAAGGAGCCTCTCATGAAAAGCAGACCTTCCCCAGACAGTGGACCTGGGCTGTCTGGTCAGCCCCCCTCACCCTCAGAGACCCCTGCTTCACATAAGCAGTAGTCAGGAGCCTTCTTCTGCCCAGTGTCAATGCCCCGAGTCCTTACATGGCTATAGTCCCCAGCTTTCTAAAATCCTTTATACCGCCCGGGCTTCACAGAAACCCAGGGAGGTCGGCAAAGGCTTTGAATTAGGTGGAACTGAGTTTCAACCCCCTATCTGCCATCGACTGGCTCTGTGACCCCGGGAAAGTTACTCAGCATTTCAGTGGTTTGGTGGCCACAACTGAACACCAGGCATTAGATGAGTTAGCATGTGAAAAGCGCCTGATATGCGGGAAAACTTGGCAAGCAGGAGGTTGCTAGGCCCTCCCTTTTACAAATGAGGAAATTCAAGCTCATCCTTGGGTCTGACCTGTCCTGGGCCTCCATTCTGTGCCAGTTTGTTGTGCTTCCATCTCTGGTCCCTGCAGCCAGCATGGTACCCACAAGGACCAGACAAGTGACAGTTGGTGGCATTCCTATCTTTTTTTTTTTTTTAAAGATTTTATTTATTTATTTGACAGAGAGAGACACAGCGAGAGAGGGAACGCCAGCAGGGGGAGGAGGAGAAGGAGAAGCAGGCTCCCCGCAGAGCAGGGAGCCCGATGTGGGACTTGATCCCAGGACCCTGGGATCATGACCTGAGCCGAAGGCAGTCGCTTAACCGACTGAGCCACCCAGGCGCCCGGTGGCATTCCTATCTTATTTCCCCAACTCAGCTCTACATTCCCTGAGGAAAAGGCCTTTGAGTACCCCCAAGTACTACTCCTGGCACGCTGTCAAATGCCTGAGAAGCAGTTTCAGGGATGCTCTGTCTGCTGGCTTTAGGCGAGAGGGGATGACGACCAGGAGGAGTATCCAATGGGGTCATCCCAGCTGCAAATCTCACGGGAAAAGCTTCCAGCTCCAGATCTCCCCCTCTGCTGCCTGCTGCCCGCCAAGGGACAGGTGACCACCAGGCGCATACTCACCCAAAGTACTAGTGAATGTCCGGAGCCATGTCTAAGGCGGGGGAAAGCAAAGGAGAAGCAAGGTCATGCATTAATTCAATGAATATTTATGTAGCTCCCACTCTGAGGGCTCAGCAGTTCAAGGAGGAGACACAGCCCGTGGTGTCACCGATCTCACAGGCCAGGTTCCCCTCTGAAGTCCCAGGATACAGATGAACTCATAGAGAACCTTGAGTCTGGTCCAGCCAGGTTCCCCAGTTTAAAGGTGAGGACACTGAGACCCAGAGAGGGACAGGGTCCAGCCAAAGTCCTCAGGGAGATGGGTAGGCATGCCCCGTGCCTGCTCTGGGAAGCCCAGCCTCA